GAAAGCGGCGGAGTCGGGGCCGCCAGAAGTCGGCCATTGACTTGGAGATTTGCCAGGCCATTTCCGCGCGGAATGTTTGTGGATTGGGAGGCCTGGCGGAGACGGCCCCGGGCAGCTCTCGGCGGCCCAGACCGCCAGCGCCGAGCGCGCCCGCGCCAGGTCGTTCGGCGCGCCTGACATCGACCCCCCAGCGGCCTACAGGGAGCTGCGCGGTTGCAACCGCGGGTGTGACCCATCCCTTGCGAAAGCGGCTCGGTGCGCCGAAGCGAGCGTCGCGGCGCCTCCAGATGCGAGGAGGCGTTTGCCCGCTAATTCGCCCTCGGAGACCACCCGTGACTCGCGGCAGAGCGGGAAGAGGACGTCTTGCGCCTTCGTCGCGAGTGGCCCGCCAATGCGCCCCTACACTTCGCCCCGAATGTGATTTGACAGGCGCGCCCGAGCTCGGCGCCACATGGCGATCGATTCAACGCGGACGCGTTCTACTTTGCATCCGAGCGAAAGATCGCGCCCCGTTCTTCGTTGCCCAGAAGGACGGCAGCGGCATGCAGCGGATGGTCTTGGACACGCGTCGGGTCGACGGAATGCCCCGCGACCCCGACGTCGCAGAGTTGCCCGCTGCGGGGAGCTGGCAGAGTTACGGCCCGGCGGGGACGGCAGCCGATGCTTCGGCCAGCGCGACATAGGAGCGGCCCCCCATGGGTTGCGGGCACCGCTTGATCTCGACGAACCAGCGGCCCGTCCAAGCGTCGATCGCGGCGCGCCAGCAGACGTCCTACCATCGGGCGCGCTCGATCGCAGTGCCATTGGGATGTGGCGGGGGCGTCCTCTCTTGCCGTCGCGTCGCGCCACGGTGGACGCGCTGCGACGAGCGGGATTCGACGACGGCCAGCTGCGGCGCGACTTGAAGGCGGCCCCCGGCGTCCACGAGCAGCCCGCCACCACCACTCACGTCGACGGCGTCGCAGCCATCGGCTCCGACCACGACAGGGCGGCCGGGCAGCTGGGCGCTGCCCACGACGCGCTCAACGACGCTGGCCTCGAGCGCAGAGAATGGGGCTACCGAGCAGAAGCAGGAGCTGACTGGCCTGATCTTCGACCGCGCTCGAAGCAGGAGTTCTTCGGGTAAGTCTCGCACGTGGGCGAGCCGCAACGGCAGCGGTTCGCAATAGGGGCAGCGCTGCTGCGCCGCCCTCTCTCGCGTGCGTCTCAGACAATTTCATCCATCGTGGATGCGGATGACAGCCGGCGATGATTGCGACCCGACGCGGTTCGAGAGCCCCGAGAAGCCGCCGCCCTCATCGCCTTCGCCTTCTACGACGCCAGGCGGCAAGTTGACGGCGCCGCCCACTCCGCCGACGCCAGCGCGGGAGACATGGATCCCTCGGGCGCCCTCTCCAGCGGCCGCGGAGTGAGGGGGCGCCGCGCCGAGTGGGCGCCGGCGCTGGAGACCGCCCGCGCAGGCCAGGGGGCGCTGGCGACGCGGGGCGGAGGAGGAGATCAGAGCTCGCGACTTCGCCTTCGCCTCGCAGTCTCCGGCGTCCGACGACGCCCCCGCCGACCTCGACGCAACGGGCAGGCGCTGGCGGCGCCGGCCTGACTTCGCCACGGTGACTCCCGAGTCACTCTTCCCCCGCGGGCGGTCGGCACAACGCGGCGTTCGTCCTGCGGCGCAGGGGCGAGAATATGTCGCGCCTGGAAGGCCGAGCTCTCGCACGAGACCACATGCACGCGGCTCTCCGCGACAGCCCCACCTCGCGCTTGGGCTCGAGAAGCGTCGGCCAGCGCGGCCTCTCATCAATTTGAATTGTTGCGACATATCGCCGCGGCACGACTTTCAATATTGCGAAGGCCTTACGGCCGATGCCGCCGACAGTGAGGGGGGGCGATGAACGACGACGACGACGACGACGGCGACGGCGACGACGATCGCGAGTCCTTGTTGGGGCCTTCCTGGGCCCTCTTGGGCCCTTTTGAGCTGTCCTGGGGGGCCTTTGGGCCGTCTTGGGGCCTTCCCAGGCCATCCTGGCGCGTACTTGGGCCGTTCTGGGGAGCTCTCGGAGGCAACTGGGGCCGACGTGGAATGCATGAAGCCTGGAAGTCGAGCAGGCGAAAAAAACGTGGGCGATTTCGGGACCTCCTGGTAGCCCCTTGGAGTGGGGAGCTTGAAATGTGGGTTGGTTTTCCCCCTCGTCGGCCTCTTTTGGGTTGTTCCTGGGGCTCTCTTAGGCGTTCTCGGTCGGAGAAGGGGGAGGGGGGGGGTGGCACGATTCGCAGGACGCTTCCAGGGACCCCGCGGGATCTGCTCCTCCCTTTCACCCTCCTCCGGGACCTCCCTTCTCTCGCGGGGGAGGGATTACAGGAACGGGGCCCCCTTCGAGTCGATTACGCTGTTGTTCGATTCTCCTCTGGCTGGAGCGTTTGAGGAGGTGGGCCGAGGGAAGAGGGGGGGGGTGGGAGGCTCATGCAGGTTTCAGGGTGGTGCGGGGGAAAAACGACGAAG